GTGAATGATTCCCTCAGGCTGACCAGGGTGTTTGGTCCATAGCAGACCCCTCACTACAGGTTTGTTAGCTGGCTGAGTGAATGAGTGGGCTTCCTGGTGAAGCTCACATTCTCCAGAAGTGAAGAACATGACCCCTGCTAAAGACTTGTGTTCAAGCATTTTCCATGTACATTTATAAAAGGTCAAATTTAACAGGGTTTTTCTGATAATAGATTAACAGTCTGGCATTTCAGTTTCTTTCCAAATCCCCTTATCTTAATATCAAGAAATTGGGTAAAAGTTTTACCTTTAGATTCACACTTATATTTGCTGTAATTTATTTGCATTGCATCACTAAAACTGTGAGTTCCTGGGTGACCCATTGATAGTATATGAAGTACTATAAGTCATATAACTTTCTTTTAAAATGTCTTACTTACATTGTTCGGTAGTAAAGTCTGGCCTGTTTTGACATGTTAAGATGTGTTGACTTAAAGAGAACATTTTTTTGGTGGTGTGAATGGATACAGACTTTTCCATTTTGTTCCAGAAAATGAGTAAAAGTCTACTAATGTACCTCCACGTCGGGAAGATTCCAACTTCGTGACCCAGCCAAGCAGACAATTAAGATCCCAGAGATGAAAGTGTTCCATCTGCAGTGGCTGGGCCGCGATGCCCCTGCTCTGACACTGAGCTTCATCACCCAGTAATGCTTACTTTCTTCAGAGAATTGCCAGTATCAGACTTCTCAGTTATTTTCCCAGGAAAGAGTATTACTTACATCTAATATCCCAGTGAGGAGAGAGTTCATTGTATGGCTGCTAACATATGAAATATGACTTAGCCCAATGGGTCCAAAACCTGGTCATTACCCCATAGCTGCTTTAAAATACGGATTCCTGGACTTCTGCCCCTGCCAAAAGCTTCAGATTCCAGAGGATTAGGGAGAAACATAAGTGAATTTATTTGTAACAAGCTTCTGGGGTGATTGATTCTTTCTCAGCCGTAGGGGCACTGGTTCACTGGCAGGTCTTTAAAAATCACTGATTTATTCAACTGAAATGTACAGCAGGTGCCTGCTCGAGCATTTCCATGAAAGGTGACTTGGTAGTAAGATATGCTGGTTTCTCTGCACTAAAGTAGAGGCATTTATGACCGATGCTGTCACACATCAGTGCAGCATGCACACTACAAATACATGTGCCCACCCCGGGCTGCCCGAGTGATTGTGCTCTCCTCCCGTGAGAGGATCTTCGGTGATTTCAGGGCTTACTCAGAAATAAATCAAAGTCAAATGTAGCTCAGTTGAATTTCTTTTTAAGGTTGTCATTCTCTACAGTCCATGTTGATTCTTCAACACCCAACAAATCTATGATCCTAAATTCGAGGACCACATCCCCCAAAGGGGGACATTTTCATCTCTTCCTTGTAGGCAGAGCATGTGTATATTGTTGAAAATCACATTCAATGTTATACTCTACCTTTTAATTTGGGAAATAATATTGTTTGGATAATATGCCTACAGAAACTAGAGCTCAGCAAAACCTTGTGTAGTGGAGGCATACGGAGGATAATGGGCTCCTCTGGGAACCTCCCTCCAGACGACATAGCAAGACTGGCAGGCGTTGCAAAAGCATTCCTGTCCTGTAGGCATCAAAAGGGACATGTCACAGAACGTGAATCAACACTGGTCGCTGATATTATTAACAATACTATTGCTCAGCCTGTGAAATGTAAGGCACCATGGGCTGTAGCATCTTCTGACAGCTGCTTTCTGAGACTCCCCTCTTTCTTTCCTGCCCCCATCCTCCCACTCCAACAGCCCCTTTCCTTTTAGCTACCCCCCCATGTCCTGGAGATACTCTGCTCTGCCCACAGCCTGAAATCCCCGGATGATTAAGCTTAAGACACTGCTTCCTGCTACCCGGGAGCTGACACCTGAGCTCTGCATACTGACTTTCAAATTAATGAGCTACCTGGGAGCTCTCCATTCCACAGTCACAGAATGGTCACAGACTGTGTGTTGAAGCCATTTGCCCTGAAGCTTAATCCATAAATTTGCAGTAAAAATGGAATAAGGATCCAGTGAATTATGTGCAATGTCAAACATCTATTACATATGGCATTTGGAAAATGTTAAACCACTGTAAAATAACTGGATTTCACTTGCCAAGCATTTTCATTACCATGATCACTTGTCAGAAAACCTCTCAAAGCTGGTAAGGGAAATTGAATGTCAAGAAGGAAACACACACACACATGCACACACATGTTTCATATGTATTTGAGTTTCAACTACCAAAATGTCCCTCCTTTTTTTTCCCCATTTCAGCAGCAAAGACAGAAGATTCTGAACTTAGGTTGAGAAAAATATATGCATATTTCCAAGCCTAAATGTTCTCTTTTATGGATTGGCTAATTCAAACTCTATTTTTCTAGCAGGGAAGTAAGACGAAGAGAAATCAAGTGACTTGCTCAAGGTCACAAAACAAGTAAGGAGCCCACGACACCAGAAGCCAGACTTCATTTCATTCAGCAAACACACGTGGGACCCAGTGCACGCCAGGCACCCAGGAGAGTGGGATCCACTCTGTCCTGTGGTTGCTCGCCGCCGACCGAAGGAAGCTGAGTGACTAACGAAGGCCACTGCGAGACAGAACGTAGGAACAGACACAGTTTTCTACAGGGCCAAGTAAAGGGGGCAGCTGTGGATGGCTCCCTGGAGGCGGTGACACCCAGCATGGCCTCTAAGCTGCATATGAGAAAGGAGGAGAAAGATGCTTCAGGCATAACGATAACCTCAGGCTCAGAGGCCAGGGAGCGCATGCCATTCAGAGATCTGTGGGCCTCTCCTCTCACTGAGGCAGAGGGTGGGGCTGGCAGAGAACAGGGAGAGGTGACCCTGAGTGGGAGGGGCCTCAGAACTGGTCAGTTTTAGAAATTTGAACGTTATTCTGAAGGCAATTGATGAGTCACTGCAGGAATCTCAGCAGGGAGATGACGCTATGAAACTTACATTTTAAGAGCAAGACTCTCGGACTGGAGAAGGAGCAAAAGGGGGCAGGACAACACTTGGCTGAGCACAGGACAAAGGGCCTTCGTGAGAATTTTTAAGAGGCACCCTTCCCGTAAGAGCGCTGTCACAACATGCCATTTCGCGAGAAAGTCACTGACATAGATGCAGGGGTCTGCAGTGACGTGCGCACACCCTTGGGTAGTGCACAGCCTGCCCGACAGGCCCCGACCTCACACTGCCTCTGGGAAACCCAAACTGACTGCGCGTAGCACCCGAACACATAGGAGCCACTCTCACATTTTATTCGCTCTTCCTGATAAGCCTGTGAAGCGATCGGGAAAGGCAACATTGTCACCCTCAGACTTGAACAGTTCCTTTGAAAGGGGGTTAGGGGATGCTTGGGACATTATTCTCAATTTTGTTTCTCTCTCCAGTCTTCATTAAGGGAAAAAAGACCCTACAAGATCGTGTTCCCTTTCCATGGCCAATGCTGACACCTTCTCGTTCGGACCATCACCCCAAGGAAAGGATACAGAAATAGTGGAACTGAAATCCTTTTTTTGCTCAGAAAACACACACGTGCAGGACTGTGTTATTACTGCGTGAGAGGGAAACTGGATCAAGTGTATTCACTCACGTCTGAATGTCTGATTATGTCTAATACATTTCCAAGCTGATTCTGAATGGTGACAATACATCGTATGAAAACACGCCTCAAAATCCCTAATGTCGTTTTTTCTGGGTGAAAGATGTGAATTGTTCCAAGGAATGATTCTTAAAATGTAAAAATAAAAATTAAGGCAACATATTCACTAACTTTTGTGTATTTACTGGTTTATGTGTTCACCACCTTGACTAAAATAGGAGCTACTTAATTTTAAAAAATATTTTTACCTAGAAATGAACAATTAACTTTGTTTTTCAATAAAGTAAATACTCAGTAACACTTGCCACCTCAAAACAGAAATACACATGGATTTATAATGGCCTAAATAGCCAACTTCTCCAAGTTTTGGTAAATGAAGAACATAGAGCTGTGAACTTTATACCATAATTTAAAACAGACTAGAAGATACCGTAACTTGCCATAGATAGTCATTTAATTATTTCCACGGAAATACCATTCTTCTTAGATTTCAAATGCTTTAAATTTTGTAATATGCCATGATTTTGCAATAAAATATTTAGAGAAAAGTAATTTCAAAATGTTTGCCGTCTGGGGGAAAAGAACAGGACATTTTTTTTGGAGCAGATATAATGGTTAGACTTCTTTTGACTACAAGTGAATGAAAGTCCAAACTAAACCGGTCTGAACCAAAATAGAATTTATTCCCTCACCTAACCCAAAGGTCAGGAATAAATCTAGTTTTGCTCAGAGCTTGACCAGACTCAAGTGATATCACCAGGACATGGTTTTTCTCTTAACTCTTGGCTCTGCCTTCTACTTACTATAGAAAATTATTGTTCAAATCATGGTCAAGGTGGACTGCATGGCTGTAAACTGGCTGCTGTGCTCCAGCCCTTCACGCTCCCAGGTCCACACCATGCAGGGAAGAGGGCCTGCCTCTCTGCAGACTGGACTGAGAGACCCGGAAAGAGGTCTCAGCAGATGCCATGGGCCACCGTGGGCCCCGGGCTGTTCCTGTGCACCCTCCTCTCCTTCTGGGGGGCTGGGCTTCAGGCAAAGGCATCACTTCCAAGGGCTGCCAAAGAGCCAGTGGTCCATAAAGTGCTGGTCTACCAGCAGTGGTGGGTAGTTCTCCCAGGGCAAAGCACCATTGTTGCTTTCTATTTGCTGTTCTTCCTGGATAGGTTTAAGCTGCATGCAAGTAAGGACCTATCAGTTTTTCTCACCATTTATCAACAGCACACAGCACCTAGTCTAGTAGCATTTCAATAAACAGGCACGGATCGCATGAGGAGAATAATGACATTCTCTCGCTTCCACTCCAGGGGATAAAGGTGGCTACTGTAAGGGTCTTTCATCAGTAGGTGTTTTACATACCTGGTGTTCCCTCCTTTCCAGGATTCATCTTCCTGGGCATCAACAGTTCTACCCCATCCAGGATCTGCTCCCGACAGCTCTGCGTCCCCCAAGCACTCCCGGCGGTTGTTCGAGTCTGCCATTCCCATTGCCCCTGTGGAAATATTGATCTTTATCATCTGCCACCCATAAAAGGTAATTGCCCCCTAATTAGGTTTTCTACCTCTAGTCCCTCTCTTCTTTTCATCTACACTGCTTTCAGAATAATTTGCTTCAAGAGTAGTTTGAATATTGCCACTCATCTGCAGTCATTCCTATTTCCCCAAGTGATGTCTAATCTCCTTGGTACTCAAGTAAGATCCACAGCCTCTCACTTGCTTTCTATCCATTTGGTCTCAAAAATATTATAAATAACTTAAAGGAAGGATTTTGTCTAATTCATTGTCATTTTATTTGGTTACTTGCTTTTCTAGATTCTATATTCATAGCTTTGTACATAATAAACCATCGATAAGCAAGTTAATGAATAAATAAAATAAACAAAAGACCACAATGAATGTACAATGTTATTTCTGGACTTTCATCTTTTTGGGATAATAGCAGTGCATAGAAGGCTCCTTTTTCTGCAGTTTATGGCAGCTGGTTCTGGAGAAAACCCACACACCACTTCTGGGTGGCTTTCCGAGAGAGTTCCCTACAATAATATATGCTTAGTAACGCGTAATCCTCGTACAAAACGAAGAAGAGAACAGTCCCATCTTGGTTGTGAAAATACTTTTTTTCTCAGTTACAGCATGTTATCACACATGTAGCACAGATTTTTATCTGAGACCTTAAAAAAATCATTTCTGGAGAATTTGCAGAAAAAGAAACACAAGAAAATTGGTCAAGAAACATAAAATGCTCAACCTCAATAATGATGATAGAAATTCAAATTCATATAACAAGTAATTAGTATTTTTCATTTATCAGATTAGCTAAGGTTAAGTTTGTTACTGGCCAGTTCGACAAAGATGTGTAGAGGCGAGCATTCTCATAGGCCTCTGACGGAGCAGCAATTTAGCTGTAGCTATGTATATTTTAAAGATGCATATTCCTTTGGCTCATTTATTTCAGGTTTAGTAATTTATTCCACATTTATTCTGAGATAACTGCACTACAATATTTGCACAGGGATGTTTGTTTCATCATTATTTGTAGCTATTATCTAAACAGTCTAGATGCAACCCTAATGCCTATCCGCTGGAAATAGAAGTTAATCATTGTGCAGCCCCTCAGTAGATTGGAATATGTAAAGACCAATTTAAAAGCGCAAAATGGATTATGCTAAGTGAAATAAGTCAGACAAAGACAAATGTCATATGATTTCACTGCTATGTGGAATTGAAAAACCAAAACAAATGAACAAACAGACAAACAAAATTACAGAAACAGACTCATAAATACAGAGAACAAGTGGTGGTTATTAAAGGGCAGGGGGCCAGGAGGATGGGTGAAACAGGGAGGGGGGATCAAACGCTAACTTCCAGGTAGAAAATCAATAAGTCCCGGGGGGGAGAGGTGCAGTAAGGGGGTACAGTCAGTGATGTTGTAAGGACTCGCTGCGGCAACAGATGGTTCCTGCTTATTGTGGCGAGCATTTTATGATGTATACAAGTGTTGAATCTCTATGCTTTACATGTGAACTATTATAATAGCAGGTCAAGTATTCTTCAATTTAAAAATAAAAGAATGAAATAGGTATATGTGTGTAAAGGTGGTAATCTGGGTAAATGTAGAAAATCTCCAAAATTACCAAGCAAAATAAAACAATGGGCAAAACAGTATATAAAATATGATCCAGTTTGTTAAATCTGAACAAACTTTTAGGGCAACTGTAGAATGAGAGATGGGAATGGGGTTAGTAGGTAGAGAGAGAGGCATCTACATCCTTCTATTCGGATTTTCACTACACACACCCATTGCTTTTACAATACAGACCTAGATTGTTAAAAAAAAAAAAAAAGAAAGAAAAGAAAAACACAAATGTCAACAAAAATTGAGGTCCTTAGTATTGTACACAGTTCATATTTTCACATTCATTTATATGCTAATTTGCTCACTAACTATTTATAAGTGTTGTTGTGGTTCAAACACCATGCAAGTTTCTTACTGCCTTTCTCAAAAGGCACACATATTCTTGGGACTCAAAAGTCATTCTGCACATAGGTCCCTGCCCACAAATACTGGGTATTTTGCTTTTCAAAGTCATGTTAAAATACCATGTGAAATGGCCCCTCTGCTCATGACGCTACCTGTCTGGACGTTTATCCTCACATGTACAAAAAGCGTGCTCATTGGATTGGCCATTTTCAGCTTTGCACCCTAGGCTGGTGCCTTCCCTTTGGTTTGGATGAAAGACACTTTGCTTTTCTTGAAATATAAAATAATTGAAAGCAGATCTGTGAGTATAGATTTCTGCTCCACAACCAGCAGCCTGAGAAAGAGCAGAGCTGCCCTCTGACTGACGGCAGTGTCGCTGGTCGTCACCTGCTCAGGGCCCGGGGGACAAGTGCCCGCCACACTCAGGCTAGAGGGAAGGGTCCCCCATTGGTGTCAGACTCAGCTCTGAGAGTTAAACTCCACTCTGTGGCAGTGTGGACCCAGCCACACTGCCGTGGGGCCTCGACACACATCCTATCACCCATCAAGGGGGCGCTAGATTTAGCATTATTTTTTGTGGTCCCCCATACATTTTATTAGGGTAGATCTGCCAGGACTTTTACAGAATAATTAGCTGTTTTCTTTAATGAATATGTCTTCAAGATGATACTTATATAAAGAGGATGTATACTTTAACCCTCCAAGGAAGAAAACACTTGAAGTGGGAATCAGAAGCTAACTCAGTCCAGCAGGAAATGGAAATTGTCCCCACCCAGTGCCCTGTGGGTGCTGGCAGAACGGAGGGGCCAGTGGCTCAGAGCCCAGGCCACCGGCTGGTGGTGCCTCCTGTAAGCATACATTCGACATTATAAGCACTCTGGCCTTTAACGAAATCATATTAAGACAAAGGAGGCTTAAATAAGAATGAACATGTAATGTTTATACTTCATATACTAACATCACTAGGTAACCAGAAACCCTTAGAGAATCGCCTTATGCCAAGGGGCTCACGCATAGGGCACTTGCCATAATTTTCTCCATTTCCCGACTTTAGGTGCGTCTGTGGCTCAGGGTATTTCCTTCAAGCGGGCAGGGGTGGATCGCTGTGGATGGCTAATACATGCCCCCAAGCTTCACGGCTCAGCCACGTATGTCAGCACTGTGCGATCCAACAGACGCCACCGCAAACTCCACATGCTGCGTTGTAGAATTCTGAGCTGCCCCTCCTCTTCAGAGGCTCGGTTCACACATGGCAAGGGCTGTCACTCATTTCCAATGCCTTTGGCCACTTTGTGGTTGAGAAAACAAGAGTTTTCTGTCTGTGCTGACTATGCCCTGAGGCTATAAGGTGACTGTTTCAAATACTTGACCCTCTTTCCCCCATAAATGATTAGAAATCTTAGCTTCTTTTATTTTGCAGAAAAATCTTTTGGTCAGCTAGCGTGTTCAGCTTGAGAAACATCACGCAGACACCTGCGCTCCACGGCATAGCTCTCCTCTTACGTGCCTGAGCAGCTACGATTTGTTTCTGTCCACTTATTCGTGCATTAAAAAGTACCTGAAGGTCTGCTTGGAACAGCTGACTTCCTCCCTTGCCTCAGTCTTCGAAGTCTGTGTTACACACAGTGAACCAGTATTTTATGTACAAAGAAGGTTCGTGTTTGAATTGGGTCGTCATCGGTCAGTGAAAGATCAAGCGGTTCTCAATGTCAGCACGTTCACCTTGAACTCCCAGAAATGTCACTTGAGGAAAACAGGACATATGCATGAAATACACTTAAATGCGACATTCAAGTGATGAAAAATACTTGAAGATAAAGTTGCATTCATTCCTTTATGGGTAGTTTGCTTCTTTGGTTCTGAAGCATGTTATTCTAAATAAAAGTACCCGAAACCATGAAGGAATAATATTACCCACGCCAACTATTACAGGATATATAAATAGTTGAGTAAATCCTTATGAGGAGGAAAATGCTTTCAAATCCTCTGCTTTTCAGAACAGAAAGAGTGTTGATTCTGGCGTTGAGTTTAAACCACCTACATATCATTTTTCACAAGCTACCAAAAGATGAAGCCAAAGGGCAAAAATGTATGCCCGATTCCCCTGGTGAGGAGACAGAGAAAGGAGAAAAAGCCCAAAAATAAGGGAAATGTTGTCTGTACATTTAAGAATTCTAGATTATGCCACTCGAGAAGGGAGAACTACAGTCATATTTGAGTCTTGAATTTCATTTATCGTCTATTTTGAAAACCAGCAGGCAGCCTCACGTAGGGTTTGCCCACGTGATTGACAGTGTGGTTTGCCTAAGGCCAGCTCTACTGACATGAAATTCTTTTTCCCTGACTGTCCCCCCAAAATGAAATCTTTCTATCTGCAGACCTCATTCCTCTAAACCATATCACTAGAAAGAAGAGGAAAAAGATTAGTGACAAATTTCACTGTTTCTGTTCTTGAATATGCATCTTTTAACTCCAAGGCCACATAGGAACCATGTCGCTACTATGTTAACACAAATGGCAAAAAATAGGAAGACTTTTTGTGTTTTTATCATAAGATATTGTATTTGATTGAATCCTGTGAACTACTTGTTTCTGAAAATATTGATCTCTTTCTTTGCAGAACATTTGATAAGTAGTTCAATCTAACCAAATCTTTAGGTGGCATCCATTATATGTGCACATGTAGTTTACAGACACCACCTTGGCAAGGACCTCTCATCAATTTCCAGAAGATTGTTTTATTTCACAGGTGTTGAATATTAAGAAAATTATAGAAAATCCACCAGTAGAAATATTGCCCAGTTATTAAAAAATGTTTACAAATAATTTTTAATATTATGAAATTGCTTTTTTTCCCAAGAAATATGCTTTTGTCAAATAAAAGGCAGAATATATCATTCTAAATATAGTGTGAACTGAATTATATGTACATACTATGTGAAAAATAAAGAAAAAAAATGACCAAATACGAGTGTTGGTTCTTAGGCATGTGGAACTCTTTACAAATTTCTT